GAGAGAGAGAGAGAGGGGGGGATAGTGTGGAGGAGAAACAGTGAGAGGGAGACGGGGAGGGGGTGGGCAAAGAGGAGAGGGGAGGGGGAAAGGGGAGAGATGTAATAATATGATATGTCCAAAGCCCGCGAACCACGATACAACGCTGTGCATAAAAGGAAAATACCAACGCAACACGTAGGCCTACCGAAGAGCGGTCCAGCGTTTCGGAAGTAATCGACTCCCTAGCCACAAACTAAACGCCTACTTAGAAAACAACAAAACAAAACAAAACCCTAAGTCTATTGTGGTAGGGGACACTGCAAAGTATTTGTGTTTTTGTTTTTTGTTGCAGTTGGGTTGTTGTTTTTTTCTCCGTCAATGATACAAACGGAAGAAGCTTTTGTGCCAATTTATGGCAGAGCAGTCCCTCACGTCTTGTTTAAAGGGCGCACAGCACAGTGAACAAAGTCACCAGCTCTATACATACATTGTCGGTTACAATAAATAATTATAATTCTGCGGTCATCACACTGAAGCGACCACTGACGAGCCACAAGCTTGATTATTTGATACCAAAGTCGCCGTGTCCACTATCGGGCTCTCCTATTCCACTGCACGCTCGCACCAAGAATCTCATGGTCTCTCGTTATTGACACAGAGATAAACACACTAAAAACGTGTGAATTGTTGTTAAAGGGCCACCGTCTGTCATTATGCTGAGGGCCTGTGGAACTAGCTCATGTGTGGGGTCTAGCTTCTGTGCCGGAATTGATGCTGGTGAAGCTCAGAACCCACCAGATTTCATGGACAGTATCCTGAGGTATTCAGATGGATTCTTTGCTGAAAAGCTCCAGCATGATCATTCTGCAACAATAGGGGATATTAACGGGCAAAGCACCCCTTGATGTCGAAGGAATTCAATGGAAATCTGCAGAAAGGTGTCATCTCACCTCCATCTACATGTACAGCACAGCTTGCTTTGTCAGTCTGGGCGGAAAATATGGCCAACTTGTGGGCCATTTGGTAATTTTGGTAGAAGGTGGGGGATCATCTGGGTGGTGCCAAATTATAAAATGGCCTGCTAGAAAATTACGCGTCGGTGGGGAAG